ATCCCTCTACCTCTCCATCAGTCATCATCTATATGTCCACCCATTTAACCTGTTGGCTGTGTGGAGTACTGTGGAGTACTGTTACCTGTTACTAACACAAGTCACAGAGTAACTTGCTCCCTTGCTTCCACCCCAGATCTCCCATGACAATATTAATGTATTAATATATAATATTATGTAATTACATAGTTGTATATTATACATTTATATATATGTGTGTGTGTGTGTGTGTGTGTGTGTGTGTGTGTGTGTGTGTGTGTATTCCAAAGTCTGGAAACTGACCTTGTCTTCTATAATTTATTGTAACTTCTTAAGGACTAGGAGTTCATTCATCAGGTTTGTAAAAGCCTACATGTTGTATTACTGCATCTTCAGTAGAGTTTAGCTGTTCTGTGAATATACTGTTCAATATTTTACACTTTGGACTTGTATACAGAATATTATACAATATATATTCTGAAAATATAGTTATATATTTCCAGTAGGAAATGTATGACTCAGCATGATGTAGAACATTAACACATGAAGTACTAGGATTTTCAGTTCATTACTCTCAGTGCAGTGTTCAGAGTTGTTTCCAGGGACCAGGGTCAATTATTGGAAATAGGTAATTTTAGATAATAGTTGCCAAAAAACTCTTCCAGATGTAGGATAACCTGTGTATTTGAGGAATGTACATTCCATGCCATACAGAAAATAAGCTACTTTTTCATTATATATGGCCTGCATTTTTTATTTTCCATTCTGCCCTGCACTTTACTCCCTCTTTGTCTTCTCCTGCCCCCAACATTTACTAATTGATGCATGAATCAAAATATTTCCCAGTCCTACAGGTTTCAGGTTAAATGCAATTTCTGCCATGAAGTCTTTCTTAGTTTCCCCTAACTAAAAATAATTTCTACTATTTCTATTTCTCTTTATATCCCTTCTATATTTTATTAATTTCCAGTTATATTATGTATATGTTCAAACTAAGAAGTCTCCATTTTCATCTTTATAAACCCAGTACATTATAAAAGTAATAAAAATGCTGAAAAAATATTTGTAAAAAATTAATTGATAAATGAATATGATGTTACGTGCCTTTGACAATCTATATTCATAGACATAAGAAGAGAACACAAAGGGTTAGTAGCTGAATCCAGAATATGTGTCTACTTTTTGAATCTCTCTCATGTATTGCTGATGACTTCAATGTTTTAAGCAACTGGCATAACCTCTTTTCTCCTTATTTCTCTATTTTAAATGTAGAGGAACACCAAATTTTTTACTTTCTTTATCCTGCTAGGATTCAAAAGTTGGTGCTTGTACAATAATTAAGCAAACTGGATCTGATACCTATATACTTTTACTACTAAAGGTGTTTTTTTGTCCCGTGGATTAACTATAATTGTACTTTTTCTTCACATGTCTATAACTCTATTATTTGAATTACTGCTAAAAATTATTAGGTCCACCATTCTGTTCTTGTCATGTGACTAGACACTTTTGGAAGACATTAATAACAGCATAGGAAGAACAAATCAGGATTAATCAAATTTAATGATGAAATTATGCACCTAGGTTAATTGCTTTGGCAGGTCTTGAATTTTGTGTGAAGTTTCTCCCATTACAAGAAAGACTAATATTGAATTCACTAGTACTTTGAAATATGAGATACAGTGCATAATTGCAAACTGACAATGTACTAATGAGACTGCACTATACACTTATCAATTATGGTTTGATTTTATTAAGTTAGGAATCAAAATGACTCACTTCACACTTACTCATTAATACTGTTTTGTCAGCTAACTTGCAAGGAGATACAGTACGTTCTGTAAAACACATTGGAGGTCAAATTTTAAATGCACTGTTTCTTATCTCAAAATGTTTATACTAGAAGTTATTGTATTTGCTGTTCTGAGTAAACAGAAGTTTCATTTTATGTCTTTTTTTTTTGCTTATTTCTTATTATAACCTGTGAATAGGAACATGAAGAACAAGAGCAGTTTGCTCATTTTCTGGAAATTACACTAATGAGCAAACAAAACTGGATTTTTTTTATTACATGTAATATGACATGGACTTTAATGATGTTATGTTAGTGAGGCATTTATTAAAAATTGGCAATTTATAAAGACTTAGAAGTATTAGCTTCTGCAAAGGGCTTGTGAAGGTCAGATTATCAAGACATATGTCTTTCTCTTCTGGATATTAGATTGAGGGAACAACTGTGAATAGAAAACTTTTTCTGTTTCTGATCCCTTGGAAGTCATGTCTTCTAATGGTGATTAGCACTTCCAGAATCAGGGATTCTAAAGAAGGTCCTGTCAGCTGCTGAGTAGTATTGACAGCTGCTTTGGAAATCCCAGCCCTAGACAAATCAGTTCTCAAGTGCCACCTTTAACATCCTGTTAATTAGGAACACGGCAGCTAAGTTTAACTGCCAAGTAGCATTACATTCCCCCTACCAACCAATGTTAAATATTTGCCTAGCCACAATCACGGGTGGTATCAAGTAGTTTCTGATGTTTGATCTCATGCAAAAATACATCGTAACTGTGGAAAATAATGTTGAATAAATGCTCTTTCCAGGGCATTTAGTTTACCATAGAAGGTGTATGAGTCTTCTGTCTGTTTGTATTTGCTATTAAAATTAGATACCATGTCATTAGTGTAGGTTGCACTGTTAGATTGAATGGTTGGTCATTTGTGTCAGGTGAAGAGGCTGCTTCCATAAATTATAACTGATTCCAAAGACAAGACATCTGGTCTTAGATCCAGGCATGTGGAGTGGGTATTAATGACAACTTCAGTGAAGCTGTCCAAGAATTTTTCACAAGGTTCAAGTAATATACCAGTGATATTGTATATAAGGTTATCTTGGATCTCCTAAATGCATGCACAATTTATGTATTACTCCATTAATATTACTCAATAAGATAATTAAACATCTACAACATAAATATGAATTATTCTTTCTTATGGGATGTGGTTTGTCTTATGACTCAGCTTGCACTATAAACACAGTATATCAGCAAGGTTGTGGCTATCAGATTTATAAGGCTTACCTGGTTACAAAAGTACTTTCAATCTGTATTCCACGGCACAGTTTGATCTGTGCCATCCCATATTAAGTTTCAAAAATACAAAATTTTAATTATTTTCTTCTCTAAGGTACTTTAGCATGGCAATCAAAACTATGTAAAGTGAGAGTCATGGTGCAAGCATTTTCGTGCACAAAAACTTTATGTTTTAAATACATGTTAAATACGTAGGTAGATTATTTAATGATTACACATTACTTCATTATATGAAGAAGTTATTCATAATTATGCATGCATACATTTTAAGCCCTTTACATCTCATACTCAGCTACATCATTTTTGGCTTTATTTAATTTTAAATAATGATTATGTATATGCTTTTCCAGAACTGTAAGATTGTTCATCCAAAATAGGTAAAATGAGGTACCCTCTCAATTTATTTTTATATTCCAGTTAAGCAAATTATAATTTTAAGTAGTCTACCCAGAACCTAGGGATTCGACCTAGCTTCCTATAAATAAGTTGACTTCTAGTTTGCTTTCTAATTAATCTCTCATAATTTTTTTTCCATTTTTCTTTTATTGGACAAATTCCCAATTATACTTCCATTTCTTGTGTTAAATATTTTTCTTCAGGAAAATTGGCCAATGCTAATATGACATCCAGTGCAAGTAATCAATCTTTCCCACCAGAATTAACTTATATAATACCTCATATTTTTCAATTTATTTCTTCTTTTAGATATCAAATTATATACACACATATGCAAACATACATACACACACATATGTATGCACACATATGTACACACACATATATATGTTATATATATATATATATATATATATATATATATATATATATATACTTCCTTTCCTTTATGGCATTGACTGCTGCATTCTTATTCATTTTATTTATTTTAAATGCTTGTAATTTTGCAGTTATTTTGTCAGGATATCAAAGGTAGATAATATCTAGTTATCTATTTCCGAATGTTCTCTGTTAATCATGAAATTTCCTAATTACAGTTACTTGTTGACTATGGACAAAGGCTTTGCTCCAACTTTGGAACCCATCAGACTTCTTGATAACCATCATTATATGCATTAGTTATGGGTGGGGACTTCGAGTTCAGCCTGCAGTTGCTCAGTTTCCATATCAACTGCTTGTTAGTTCTGTGGTGTGAGAAGAATTTTATTATTATTATTTTTTTAAAGACTAGTCAAGTGCAGTAATGAGAAGGGGGGAAACAGTAGAACAAGGAGTCCAATCTGTAACTGACTGTGAACAATCAATTGAGATAACTCACTACATTCTGACCAGCCGGTGTGAGAATTATTATTTCATATTTTTAGTAATATATGTTACTGCAAAATAATGATTATAGTAGTACATATTTCACAGTGTTTCAGTAAGGATTTAGTGACATGACACATGCAAAGCTTTTAACATATGCTTGGCATTTTATAAGTGCTCAATAAGTTAGTTTGTGGTTGCTTTCAAACATTTTTTTAAAGTAGATAAGAATAACTGGAATTAACTTTTTAGACAAAGAACAATATAAGGGCTCTTATGCAATATTGGCTAATTTTTGCAGCTAGATTTTTTGTTTGTGATTTTTGCGACAAACTGTATAAATTAATATAATGTTAAAATTAAGATAATTTGCTTTTAAGTTTAATGAATACATCCTACATATTATAAAATCTTGAGTAAAATTTACACAAAAAATAAAAAAAAGAATAAAGCCACACTGGGCAACAATAACTGCTAGAAATCTTGGATTTTATTTTATGTGACTCATGCAAAGAAAAAGATAGCTTAAAATAGTTGCATATTTTCTCCAAAGAGACTGAGTTTAACTGTTACTTACTCTGAGAAACTTTACAATGTAAAAATTCAAACTTCTGAGAAAAGCAACTAAAATAGTGGCTTTTCTAATATGTTGTTACTTTTCTTCTTATCTTTTAGGAATACACAATAGATATAATTTTTGCCCAAACCTGGTTTGACAGTCGTTTAAAATTCAATAGTACCATGAAGGTGCTTATGCTTAATAGTAATATGGTTGGAAAAATTTGGATTCCTGACACTTTCTTCCGAAACTCAAGAAAATCTGATGCTCACTGGATAACAACTCCTAATCGTCTGCTTCGAATTTGGAATGATGGACGAGTTTTATATACTCTGAGGTAATATTGGTGTTAAAATCTGCAGTTGCTCTCATTTATTTTCCATACTAATATTTAATCAACTCCTAATTTTTCCTTTCGCAAAGTTGCAAAGCCAAAAATATGGAGCTCCTTTCACATGCTAAAATATAAAATAGTGAAATATTTTGGCAATACTTTTTAAAGCTCAAAGGTATTATTATGTGAAAAGGACTAAAAACAAAGAGAAAAAATTCTTTTATTTTCTTCCTTGGAGGCAGAAGAAGTTGCAGCGTACAGATTATGATTTTCTTAACTTGCAATGCAAGTAATTAAGATTTTCTCTAGAAACCCACCCTGCTATAACATAATATCTAATTTTCAAAGGTATAGTAAAACATTCCTAAGAAAGGATTAAATGAAGGTTGATGTATAAAATTCAAGTTTATTTAACTCATATCAATGAACATATCTGCTTATAAAGAACCATCCTTCATGGAAAGATGTAATAAATTAAGAGAAAAAAATCCAATACTTAACCATTTATAATTGGCTAATCTGTTGTTTTTGCACGTGTTTGTGCATGTGTATTTGTGAAGATATTAAAGTATGAAATATTGAATGTAAACACAGAGATTATATTGAAGTGTATACAGAAGTAACATAGTTGACTAAAGAGGAAATTGTTAGAATTCTCATATTTATATATGAATGCTATAATATTACTATTTAATACTTTGAGACTTTAGAATCATTGTTATATTCTAATATGTCACAATCTATTGTCAAATGACAGAATCTTGTTTTAAAATTAGTCGAGATTTTTAATGCTTCAAATGATTTTTCTTTATTTACACTTATTTTTTTTCCATCTAAATAGACTGACAATTAATGCAGAATGTTATCTTCAGCTTCATAACTTTCCTATGGATGAACATTCCTGTCCACTGGAATTTTCAAGCTGTAAGTGACAAAACACTTGATAATTTCATAGAATTTTAGCCTTAGAAACTGTTTATTAAAAAATGAAATGAAAGGAAACGAATTATAGTTTTCAAAAGTGAAAATTATGTTCAATTATTTTAAATAAAATAATTACAAATAATATGTTTTCTTCTTGCTTTTAAACTCAAAAGTTTCAATTAATGTGTAGTGAATACATATATTTTACTAAAACATTCTTTATAGCTTCTAGTTTTACTCCAAAGCTATTTGCTTATTTTTATTAAATAAAGGAGTATTGAAGATAGATTTTTATTTAAATCTTTCTATGCAGCCACTAATAAAAAAGTTGATTCAAATTATATTCACCTTCCTGGAGGCAAGATTTAACTTTATTACATTAGATTTTGAAATCTGTTTCAAAAATTGGTTTGGCAAACGGTATTTACTTCATGAATAGCCACTATTTGAGACTAATAAGTCAAACAAAAACCAAGGTACAAATAAGTTGATTTTAATTAAAAAATGATTGATTCATAGGAATGTGGTTAGAGATGAATGATTTAGTATACAAATCTTGTATTTTGTTTCAAGAAAATAAGCATAACCTTTCCAAAGCCATATTAATTTTATTTCATATTTACTAACATACTTATCCTCACACATATTTTTATGAAAGTGTTTTTCTAGATATATACAATTGTCTTAAAAACATATAAAATGACTTATAAAAATGTGGTTGCCTATACCGACAAATTGTCAGATGCTGTTTTCCTTCTTTTAAAATTTGTAGTTTTCACAGATCTCATTCTAGAATCTATTAGTGGTAGAGTGTAATATGACAATTAATTCATAAGTATAACCCAACTTTTTGACTTACTAAATTTCCACAATTTTTTTGCCTTTTATTAATGATGTTGAAATTTCTTAATGATTTGTCTCATTAAAGCATTATTTTATATGAATGAGCTATGTACTGCTTTGATTTTTAAACAGTAACTTCAAAATGAATAAAACAGCCAAAGAGCGACAAATACTTGATTGATAGGATTACTCAAGGAAAAGTTCATATGCAAATAGTTGATAGCAGTTGTTGTCCTTCATTCTAGGAGTCATTCTTAAATTTTCATGTGATATTTTTGTGTTTTGATTGTTGTCAATGGTAATTAATCATATATCTTTGTGAATATAATTGGGTGACAATAACACACATATAATAATAATAGCTAATTTCTTTTACACAATCTACATGGGTCCAGTAAATAATTAAGCCATCTGCATCTACTATTTTGCAACAAATATGTGTGGAAGATTTATTCAGAGTGGCTCTTTGCCAATCATGTTTATTTGTGCCCACACTATTGTATACTATGTCTATACTCCTATTGTCTCTAAGATTTTTTAAAGTAAAGAAAGAAACTATAGAGCCCAGGTGCTGTGGTTCACGCTTGTAATCCCGGGACTTTGGGAGGCTGAGGCGGGCTAATCATCTGAGGTCAGGAGTTCAAAACCAGCCTGGCCAGTATGATGAATCCCTGTCTCTACTAAAAATACAAAAATTATCCAGGCATAGTGGCATGCACCTGTAATCCAGGCTACTCGGGAGGCTGAGACAGGAGAATCACTTGAACCTGGGAGGCAGATGTTGCCCTGAGCTGAGATCATGCCATTGCACTACGGCCTGGGTAAAAAGAGCCAAATTCCATCCAAAAAGAAAAGAAAGAAAGAAACTATGGAAATCAAGATGGCTACACCACTAGAGAGCAAGTGAAAGAAGATGGAGAAGAGGAAAGAAAAAAATAGGTTATTAAATAGATCAGCAGAGATGGTAACTATTTCATTACATGACTAATAGAGATCCTAGTGCAAAATATATATTATTTTGGAAATATTGGATATACTAGTTTCGAAATTTCAGGTTAATTAGTGGATTCTATTTCTGTAATGTGGTAGACCAATCTTTCTGTTGAAAACAAAAATTTTATATGATTAAAATCTTCTAAAAATATGTATGTGATGACAAATGCAAAGAACTTTTTAGCTACAGACATCTACATGAAAACTATAAACAAAGAAGGTAAAATTGCAGCCTATTGTGACCTGAAGACATTGACAAAACGTGATAATTTCCTTAAAGTTTTGCTTTGATGGTCTTGTAGAATGGAAGTGTAATAGAACATAATGTCCACATAAAGTTGGGATACAAAAGTCTGGGCAGTTGAGATCACATGAAGAATTGCACACACACACACACACACACACACACACATACGCACAGACACACACAGACACACACACACATACACACACACACACACACACACACACATACACACACACACACACACACCCCAGAAGCTAAAATGTAAATTGCCTCTGAAATCAGTATACCAGGGTGAAATAATTCTTCTTGAAAGAATCTAATTATAAGTCTACCCTTAAGTAGATTTTTAGCCCAATTTTTTTCGCTTGGTTGGTTCAAAAAGTCGTCAAAGACATTCCTGACACAAGGCAGAAGCAAATATATTTTTTGAAAGATAAAAGGATATACCTCTGTTCCAGACATCTACAAAGTAGACAAAAACATTTTTGACACAAATAACTAACAAAGGACTAGAAGCAATGACAACAAAAGCCAAAATAGACAAATGGGATCTAATTAAACTTAACAGTTTCTGTATAACAAAAGAAACAATCATTAGAGTGGACTGACAACCAATAGAATAGGAAAAAAATTTTGCAATCTACCCATCTAACAAAGGACTTATATCCAGAATCTACAAAGAACACAAACAGATTTAAAAGAAAAAAACAAACAAACTCATTCAAAAGGTGAAGGATATGAATACTTTTCAAAAGAAGACATTTATGTTGGGTGCAGTGGCTCACACCTATAATCCCAGCACTTTGGGAGGCTGAGACAGGTGGATCACGAGGTCAAGAGATTGAGCCCATCCTGGTCAACATGGTGAAACCCCGTCTCAACTAAAAAAATACAGAAAAAAAGAAAAAAAAAAATTAGCTGGGCATGGTGGCGCACACCTGTAGTCCCAGCTACTTGGGAGGCTGAGGCAGGAAAATTGCTTGAACCCAGGAGACAGAGGTTGCAGTGAGCCGAGATTGCACCATTGCACTCCAACCTGGGTAACAAGACTGAAATTCTGTCTCAAAAAAAAAAAAAAAAAAAAAAAAAGGAAGTCTTTTATGAGGCCAACGAACATATGAAAAATGCTCATCATCACTGATCATTAGAGAAATGCAAATCAAAACCACACTGAGATACCATCTAATGCCAGTTAGAATGGCGATCTTTAAAAAATCTGGAGACAACAGACGCTGGAGAGGATGTGGAGAAATAGGAACACTTTTACACTCTTGGTGGGAGTGTAAATTAGTTCAACCGTTGTGGAAGACAGTGTGGTGATTCCTCAAGAATCTAGAACTAGAGGTACCATTTGACCTACAATCTCATTACTGGGTATATACCCAAAGGATTATAAATCATTCTGTTATAAAGACATATGCACACGTATTTTATTGTGGCACTGTTTATAATAGGAAATACCTGAAACCAACCCAAATGCCCATTAAGGATAGAATTGACAAAGAAAATGTGGCACACATACACCATGGAATAATATGCAGCCATAAAAAAGGATGAGTTCATGTGCTTTGTAGGGACATGGATGAATCTGGAAACCATCATTCTCAGCAAATTGACACAAGAACAGAAAAACAAACACTACATGTTTTCATTCATAGGCCGGTGTTGAACATTGAGAACACATGGGCACAGGGAAAGGAACATCACACACTGGGGTCTGTTGGGGGTGGAGGCCTAGGGAAGGGACAGCAGGGGTGGGGGAGGTTGGGGAGGGATAACACTGGGAGAAATGCCTGATGTAGGTGATAGGGGGATTTAGGCAGCAAACTACCACCACATGTGTGTACCTATGCAAGAATCCTGCGAGATCTGTACAGGTACCCCAGAACTTAAATTACAATTTTAAATAAAAGAAAAAGTAAGAGAAAGTAAAAATAAATAATGGGTAATTGAACAAGCAGTTCCTCAAAGAAGCAGTCCAAGAATCTAATAAACATACTTTTTAAATGCTGGGTTTTATTAGTAATCAGGAGAATATGAAACAAAACACACTTCATGTATTAGTAAAAATAAAGAAGGCTGTATATATCAAGATTAATGAGAATATGCATTCATGTGAATGTTCACACTCTAGCTGATAAGAGAATATGTTAGTGGTCAGGCATGGTGGCTTACGCCTATAATCCCAGCACTTTGGGAGGCTGAGGGGAGTGGATCATCTGATGTCAGAAGGTCAAGAACAGCCTGACCAAAATGGCAAAACCTTGTTTATGCTAAAAATGCAAAACAATTAGCCAGGCATGGTGGCGAACACTTGTAGTCACAGCTATGTGGGAGGCTGTGGCATGAGAATTGCTTGAACCTGAGTGGCAGAGGTTGGCAGTGAGCTGAGATCATGCCACTGCACTCCAGCCTGGGTGACAGAATAAGACTCTGTCTCAATTAAAAAAGAGAGAGAAAGAGAGAATATGTTAATATATGCTCCATGGAAAAAATATTGGCACAGTGGCACTACCTCATAAAGTTGACATTATATGTAACCCATGACCCAGCTACTCCATACCTAGGTGTATATCCTGGAGTAGCCCTTGCATATACACGTTTGAGGATGCATGTATAATAATGTTACTAGCAGCAATGTTGGTCATAGACAACAGAATATATCACAAATGTCTAAAACAGTATAATGGATAAATTTTGATATGTTTTTAAAAGGGAAAAAATTTAGCAACATACAACAACATTGGTGACTATCAATATATTTAAAAGAGATATTCTTAGACAAGTTAGCATGAGGAAAAAGAAGAAAAAAATATGCAAAATTATACCTTAAGTATGGCAATGATCAAATAAAGTTCAAAGGAACCCAAACTCTGCTATACTTTTTAAAGATGCATATGAAAAATCTATATCAAAAAGAAAAGATCATCACAGAAATCAGGATAGTTATTACCTCTAGATTGTAAAGACAGTACTATATTGGGGTGGACATATTGGGTTTCCTATATGTTAGCAAGGTTCTATTTCTTAATTTAAGTAGGTTACATGGTTTATAATTATTTGATCCAAGTATGATTATTCATTAAACTATGCTTATCTATATTTATTGTATGCAAATGTTCTACGTTTGGCATATCTTATAATAAAAAAGGAGGAAGAAGTTCCAATAATTTACTCTTGGATAATGTTGGTATTACAATGTTATCAAATTTGGATCTTGCTAATCTAAGTATTTTTATTTTTTCTGTAGATGGATACCCTAAAAATGAAATTGAGTATAAGTGGAAAAAACCCTCTGTAGAAGTGGCTGATCCTAAATACTGGAGATTATATCAGTTTGCATTTGTAGGGTTACGGAACTCAACTGAAATCTCTCACACAATCTCTGGTAAAGACAATACTCAAATAGTGAATTATGCTAGCATTAAATCACATTTGTATTTTAAATATATGGATTGAGATTTATATTTTATTATCAAACTATTTTTTTTTTCCAGGGGATTATGTTATCATGACAATTTTTTTTGACCTGAGCAGAAGAATGGGGTATTTCACTATTCAGACCTACATTCCATGCATTCTGACAGTTGTTCTTTCTTGGGTGTCGTTCTGGATCAATAAAGATGCAGTACCTGCAAGAACATCATTGGGTATGACACATAATATTATGCTATGATGCCCTAAACTTTAAAAAAAATTAACGTGATAAAAATTTATAGTCACATTTATTAGAAATATTCTTGTAGACTACAATCAGGTAAAAATGGACAGAAACCATAGGACAATACCATATTGAAGGAGATATGTACAAAAACAAATAGAAACTGGAATTGTAACGAACTTTAAATTTTAGAAAATTCTTTTTTTATTTTTCTACTAATGAAGGCCAAGGGAAACATAGATACATCACAGGAATTAATACCTGAAAATCATGCATAATCCTTAAATCTTATTTGGGTTGAGATTTTCTTCTACCACTTTTCACCAAGATTTTATTTTACGTTATTGCTGAGTCTCTAATAACCACCGTTTATTTAATGAGGTGTGTGGATGGCTTTGAAATAACCTGCTCTTATAACATTGCCTGTGAAGTCAACTGCTCTAAAGGGCAAGTAGCTGAAAGAAACAAGAAGCTCTCTGGCTTCTGTCGTACGTAAAATGTGTACTTATTCTGTGAATACTTGAGAGTTGTCTGTATAATAACATTGATTAACCGGGTAGTTGTAATTCATACTTGACAAAACAGACTTTTGTTCTTTTTCCGTGGCAATCTATTGCAATAATCAAATCACATCACAAAATAAGTGACTAATTATGATACAGTTATTTTAAAAAATGATAACCTGCATTCAGGTATTGATACACAAAGAAAACTTAATCAATTGATTGACCCCCCCCCAAATCAGTGAACAACATGAATCACACTGCTGATAATTGTATCTTAAAAATATATAAAGGTAAGATGGTTTCCATTTTTATCCACAAAGAAGTTTCTATGTGATTTCTATGATATATCGTAAATACTTCCATCTAATAAGTATAGTAAAATACAGGTCACATAAAAGTGACAAACACAGTGCTTGAGGCACATAGGTCTCTACTTGAAAATGAGGTTCTCTTGGGTGTCGAAACAGAAGTGGTGGCATAGTTAGTGAACAAAATCCATTCATGCCTTAATTTTGTTTCCTTTCATTGTTTCAAATTATTTTACATCCTAAGTTGTATAAATTATTTTAGGTTCTTTGTATGCTATTATAACTTAAACATGATATTTTTCGCTTCTATTTCCATATTTTTCTGGGAATGTAAATTAGTATAACCACTATGGATAACAGTTTGGAAGTTACTCAAAGAGCAATTTGAATGGATTATTTATACCACTGGGTTTGTATAAAGCTGTATGCTGGAGTTTCACGAAGAGAAAAGCCAATTGTAAAGTCGTTTTTGCATAGATTTATTTTTACTCAATATTAGCATATCAGTTGTAAAGATAAGTACAGCCAGATGTTACTTGACAAATATCTCTTGTAATTGTGGACCCTACAATTATTTTAAATATACATTCACACACATATCATTGAAGGACAATTTGCTGAACTCAATGAACTCAACCTTGCATGTTACTAAAATTTATCAAATGCTTTCTATAAAACAAGCAGTGTTTTTGGTGGTGCAGTGTTAACAGTGAATACAATTTTAAAACATTCATGTTTATGATGTTTACATTTTAGAAGAGAAAACAGGCAATGTAAAAATATAAAAAGCATACAATAAAATTTTAGTGAGTCATGAAGTCTGTGAGGAAATAGCAAAATCAATGTTCAGAAAATGACAGGATGTGAGTGGTGTGATATTTGCTATTTTATATTGTGGAGTCTCAGTAGATATCTCTGAGAATGTGGCATTTGAGCAGTAACCCAGTGAAGTGTGGTGCTAGCCTGGTGGATATTGAACAGAAAGATATTTCAGGCAGGGAGAACCATATGGTTCTGAAGCCAAATATTTCTGCTATGGCATATTTGGGGTTCAAAAAGATGACAAATGTGGTTGGAGCTGAATGAATAGTCATAGAAAATGAATTTGGAAAAGTGGACAATAGTTAGATTATATAAGATTGGTGGGCCATTTTAAGGACTTCAAAATTTATTTCAAATGTAATGGGAGATTATTGTAGGATCTTGAGTAAGAGAAGAAATGGATAAAATAGCAATGATATCCAAAATGTTTCCTCAGTATCCTGTTAACATTCTAAATGTTTTTTATTATGATGGACTCAGAAATATTTTAATAGAAAATCCACCATGTTCTTCTCAAGGTAATCACAGGAATAATAGTTGCTAAATTAAATAATTAACTGAAAGCAAAGTTCTGCTTAGTTTTTCTTATCTTATTAAAAAAGAATATAATAGCAACTTAATAAGTTGAAATTTATTGCAGTCATGGATAATAAAATCAAACTATACATTGTATTTAATATTTTTTAAGTAGATAGGGGACATAATTGTGGAGGCAAGAAATGCTTTGGAAACCTACCTTGGACTGACTATGGGAACAATGTGATTTAATAAGCTTGTGTGGGGGTTGAGGGAAAGAAAGGCTTGTATATATATATATATATATATATATATATATATATATATATATATAATAACAAAAGCCTTTAAAATGTAGTTTGGCTTCAAAATAATTGAAGTAAAAGCTGTTAGGAATCATGGGAGAAATAGACAAATCTGCAATCATTACTGTTTTCCTATTCGTAGTTAGAACTACAAGAAAAAGTTAATTAAGATATAGACACTTTGAAAAATAATTATCAACAACTTTACCTTATTGGAGTTTATAGAACACTACACCTAACTTCAGAATACACAATATTTTCAAGTGCATATGGAACATTAAACAAGATCTTACAAATATTCAAAACAAAAATTTTCAGAGTATATTTTCTAACAAAAAAGGGAAGTAAATTAAAAATTAATAAAAAATATAACTGATAATGACCTAGCATATTTTAAAATTTAAAAAACAGACAAATAATTAAATTAAGTATGTTTATATATTTACTACAAGTAAAAGCAAGATATTAATTTTTTTTTAATGAGAGGCACAGAGCAGTTGAAAAGCTTTGTTAAGAACACAGAGCTAATTAAGAGATTGAACCTAAATTTGTCCTATAATTCCAAATTAATCACAACTGTGTCACATTCTTAATATATTCTCTAATCCTAAGAAGTGATAAAAGTGAAGCGATAGGTGTGTGAGTAGAATTGTCAGGGTATGTTCAGTGGAGACATGAAGGGAAGAGGTGGTTATTATTGCCTTCACTATACCAAAGGGACTCTGTTGCTGCAGCTCTTTTTGATTTACTTTTCATCATAGATGTTGCCATTCTATAAATTTTGGTCAAATTAAGAAGCATTTAGCTTATATTTTAGTACATTTAAGAGAGCAAACAATTCAGCTAATGGGATCATATTTGCTGGGGAAAAGAATGAGAATTATGTAAGTTTAGATTTAAAAAAAATACAGCATGCGCATCTGTAATTTAGGGAACATTAGATTAATTGTGGTAAGAACCACACAAAGACTGATGAGAGACAAACCCCTTCAAGGATACACATACAGGGTTGGGGCCCTGGAGGACCTCCCAATTATACATTCTGACTTCTCAAAAATAAAAGGATTTACTCTGTGCTTTCAAAGCAGTATTCCCTTGATATAACTGCCAGCATTCCTCACTTAAACATTGAGATTAAAAAGTAGCTATGCCAAATTTGTTCCCATCCTATGCACAATGAAATGCCAGCAATTCTGGTTATGGAAATAGTTTCTGCAGGGGCAGAAGTGGAGAGTTTCTGAGGTCCTCTGGAAAGCCACATCCCTGTATCCTGGAGCCCAAGGGCAGGGTGTGTGTGTGGACAAACTGCTAACCCAAGTGTCTCAGCCTTGACTAGAAGATAAATTCTTCTGGGCATTCGCACGAATCCCACCCAACCAACCTTTCTGTACAATATAGTTTATAATAAAACCTTGCTAAAAATAGATTTTACCATTTGCAGTTATGGGAAGAGACAAAATCAAAGTTTTCCCTTTTTACCTCAGAGAATTGTTTTCATAGAAAATTATAGCTGTTTACAAAATTATATGGGAAATTTTACTTAGTTTCATAAAACACTTAAGACATTATATTCAGTGTGACTCCAAATAATAAATTTCAATTTAAGGGAAAAAAGTTGGTTTAACTCAAGTTGTTATAAAACCAAAAGCTTTGTTAGTTTGGATTAATTTTGACTATAGGTATGGTGGGAAATGTCAAACCACTGTCACTTCAACTAGAATAATTTCTGTTGCTTATGTGAAAGTCTAGGGCTAGGTATTTCAAGGCGATACATTACAGTATGAGAGATTCAGCCTCCTTCTAGCATTCTCCTGTATTGTAATTTTAATTTCCAAGATTATCTAATATTTTATATAGTTGCTGTTGGTCTGGCCATTGTATTCCAACAGAAGGTAATGAGAAGGAAAGAAAGGCATTCCTTGTCTCTTTAATGTTGTCTTTAGTATACTGTGTGTCGCTTACATTCTTGGCTTGGTTCTCTTCTGCTAGATCTCAGCCTGTGGCCACACTTAGTGCAGAGAGATGGCAAAGTTGTTATTGGCAACCAGAGACCAGCTAAATATTTGATGTTCCATTACTGTGGAGGAAGGAAGGAATGAATATTGGGAGTCAACTTGCAGTCTGCAGTAATTTAAATGATTAGAACTCACAGAAACAAGGAGCACACTGGACACAATATAGTTATGGATACCAATAATTCATTCTGTTCATTCTGTAAATTACTAGTAATCATATTTTTTTCTTTCCATTGTTTATTTTTACTTACAATATTGCCAAATCAGATGGAAGAATATATGTGTTCTTTTATTTTTCATTTTCTATTTTGTTTTCTCTCTCCATAGGTATCACTACAGTTCTGACCATGACAACCCTCAGTACAATTGCCAGAAAGTCTTTACCTAAGGTTTCTTATGTGACTGCGATGGATCTCTTTGTTTCTGTTTGTTTCATTTTTGTTTTTGCAGCCTTGATGGAATATGGAACCTTACATTACTTTACCAGCAACAAAAGAGGAAGGACTACTACTAAAGACAGAAAGCCAAAAAATAAAGCCTCGGTATGTTAAAAAGAAAAATCTCTATTTTATAAACCCCAACTTACTTAGTGATACTGTTTTGGATATTCATGTGATTGTTTAAAGAAATAGGGATGCTTGAGATCCATAACCAAAGACAAATAAAACTAAGATGAAACTGGAGTACCTAACATTGCTCACCAAGAAAAGCGTATTTCTGATTTTTAAATATCTCCCATTGGATCACCTTTGTAAAGAGTGGTTTGCCATGCTCCGAATTTTCCCACAAGTGGTAGATTCTTTTACCTCAAACATTATTTGTGATTTACCTGTGATTCGATATTTGTGTTAGGATTTGCATTTCTAACAAAATTACCTTACTTTTAGTGATGAAGATTCGTCTTTAATGTTAGTATTCAACTGTGTTTGAAAGTCATGACCACAAAGTTCTTCTCTGTTTTTGTATATTTGTACTATTTTACTCTCATATCTCAATTATATTTTTACCTTAACTTATATTGCATCAAGTTTAACACATTAAAATGGATTCTACTGAGTCAAATATAGTCCTGTATGGGATGATTGACTATGTTTTTTTTAATATTATCAATTATAGCAACCTGAAAGTAATAACTAACCCTTATTGAATGTTCCAGACACTCCAATGATTTCATGTAGGCTAAAAGCAGCCCTCTAAGTAGAAATTCAATGATTTGCACATGGACATCCTTAGTTAAGTCAAAGAGCCAAGACTCAGGCTTGAGTCGTTTTTGGTGCCAGAGCTCAAGTTTTGACCCTTCCTTTATATATCCTGTTCTCACAAGGCTGAGAAAAGTAGATGTTTATTTTTTTTTAATTAACAACAACAACAACAACAACAACAACAATTTCAGTAAACACTCTCAAAGATTGGTCGCAAAATACTCAAATAAATGAGAATTGTATCGGACAGCTATGCTTGAGTGGCAAGCTTGGAAGCCTACCATAATGTATATATAATGAGTTTTACATGTTAACTAACTTTGTAAGTTCTAAGAGTCAGTGCATTTTTCCCTCCTCATTTTTCCCATTGTTTTCTTCATAAAACTCTGCTATACTTTTAAGTTATGCTTTACTTTTCATGATATAGTCCAAGGTCAAAACCTGGTATATTTTGCTTTACGATACCCACAATATTCCCAGAAAGCAGAGCACATTGCTAGCAGTACAAATCTGACAACTTGCATTGTAGAATTAGGCCATGACTCTCTCAACTTGAATTATCTGTAGGATATATTTGGCTCCTAAATGTACAAGTCAGAAGGCAATGATGTCAACTGTAATATCCATTGTTAAATTTTTATATAGAGAAAAAATGAAGGCTTTCTACTATTTTCCTTTCATCAAAGTCATGCATCTTCTCTGGATTTTCCATTTTATCATTTTATCATCTATGTTTCATTATTACCTTGAAAGTTTTATTTCTGGAAATTTTGAATGGAAGTTTAAAATAAAAGTAACTAAGGTAGAAGCCAGGTCATATACAATCTCACATGGATTCTCTAATTTCACTCTAAGAATAAATAATTTAGGTACCAATATATTATCGAAGGACACAACAAAAACATGGCTACTCTAGAACCATAGATAATCAGTTTGGCTGCAGCTCATGTACACTCAGCCACAGTTCCAATGCCACACTTACTCAAGGGAGCTTGATTATTTGAGTATAGATTTTAGTCTTATGATTTTATTCAATCATTCATTTATCAAATATTTATTATGGGCTTCCATAATGTAAGCATTGTTCTAGAATAGTTATTTTTTAAAATCTGTATGTCTTTAAAATCTAGCATTACCTGAAATCACAAACCACTAATTAAAGGTAAAGAATAAAAATCAAATTATAATATTGAAATACTAAATGGCAAATAGCAACACTTAAGTTGAAATATTATAATTGACTACTTGAGTACCAAAAATACTTTCTTTACTGCCATCTATAATGAAGTTTGATAGTTTCTTTTCTTGTGCTTTATGAGCTTTTTCAATCCTAAATGATATTTTGAGTGAAAAACCAGAATCAGTAATCAAATCTGACTCCTGGCATGGTTCAGTGTACAGCCATATGATCTTGCTAATCAGGTAAATCAGAATGTACTTTTATGAGAAATAGGCAGCTCTGTTTGCTGTTGTCTAAAATCACCTACTTAAGGGCTTTCTGGCATTTACTTTTTTTTTTTTTTTTTTCTTGCAAGATGTTGTAGCATCTTGCTATTAAGCCTGTGTTAACTGTTTGTGATTTCACCCCTCCCTCCACCTTTCTCTTTCTCTTTTCTTTAATTGCCCCATTTTCTTTATTAGACTCAAAATTCTGAGTAGTTTAAAATCTAGCATTTTCCTTTTAAAAAAAATTGTTTATGGCTAAAGTCAGGCTAGGATGAAATACTTTGGCTAGAGTCGCTGAAAGGTCAACATGTCTGTGACTAAACAAAACTAAAATCCTTTTCTTAACATCTCATTGACTGTTTTTTCTCTTTCTTTCATTTCTTTTTCATGCTTGCTTTCTATCTTTCCTTCCTTCTCTTTATTTCTCTTCTTCCCTTTCCTTCTCCTTCCTTCCCCTTCCCCCTTCTCCCTCCCTTCCTTCCTTTCTCCTTCCCCCTCCCTCCCTCCTGTCCCTTCTTCCCTCTCTCCTTTCTTCCCTTCCTTCCTTCACTCCTTGCTTCCTTCCCTCCTTCCTTCTCTATTCCCTTATTACCATATTTTTATTATTTCTATTTTTTTGTACACATCAATGACATTTTGGATTGCTCCATATGCACATCCAATATATATTTTTATTATTAATTATTAAGTATATAATTCAGGTGTGTTTGTGCCAACATTTATTTTTAAGAAAATCTAAGAAGTTAGCTTAATTATGTTTAACTAAGGAATCAAGACATTTTATGCAGCAGATAAAGGCAACAGAAAAGCAATAGTAATAAACCAACCATTGCCAACTAAAGAGTAGTTTATGTTGAAACTTGAATATTAAGCCCATAGGCTACCAGAAATCTCAGAAAACCATGTTGTACCTACTTCAGGGGACTGCTATAGCCATTTGAGCATTGAAATTAGTTATTTTTAGTCTTCTGATTTTTTTAAAATGTGAAATTATAGAAATTTATTTCACCAGCTATGGACAAGACATTATGGAGGCAAAAAGAGATTCAATGTGTTCTTTACTTTCAGGGATAGTTACACCCAGTTATGAAAAATATATCACAAATATAAACATAGTAAGATACAATATAAATTACAGTCCAAGATAAAAATCAAAATTAAACCAAGAGTCTGTGAGGTAATTAACAATCAGATGAATAATTTCTCACACTTTTTCAAAAGTAATATATTTTTACAACAAATATAAATATGATATTTTATTATTTTTAAATAACAATACTCTTATTTAAAAAAAAAAACTTTCATGAAAACATAAAACATATTTTTAAAGGAACTGTTCTTGTTGAAACAAACAAGTATCATAAGGCCAGACCTACATGGCCTATGCCTAGCATCCCAGGCGATCTTCAGATATCATGTAATATGGCCTGTGAAATACTGAACAAGGCACATAATGTTGAAAAGAATCTTGCATCAATTTTGGTCGCAGTGGAGTGGAGAGGATTCATTTCATTTCATGTGTAAATAATTCATTCATAAAGCATGTAAACTAACAGAAGTTTGGCAGAGAAAATTCCAGAGAAGATGTGGCTTCACTGAAGTAATATTTTGAGGAATAAATTGCAGTTTTTAAGACAACAAATTACGAAGAACATTTAAGATAGAACTATGTCAGCTGGATTGAGCCTTACATGTGAGAATAAAAAGGATTCTAGTATATGTCCTAAGCTGTGTTGGCCAATATAATAGCCACTAACCACATACAGATAGGTTGGGTTAAATTAATTAAAATTAAATAAAATATAATATTAAGTATCTTAGTAGCACTACTTACATTTGAAGTGCTAAATAGCCACATGTGACTTATGGCTATCATATTGAAAAGTGTAGATATAGAACATGTCTGTCATCACAGAAAGTGCTATTGGGTAATGTTGATCTAGAAAATAGGAACCTTAGGGAAGAAAATAACCTAAGTTGAGGATAAAAGAGTGGTTTATCACCAGGTTGTTTAAAATCTTTAATGCCATGTTAGAATTTACATTTTGTCTTGTTAGCACTGGCAAGTTACACGTGTTTTTAGGCAGCATGGTGTATTTCTATGTATGTTTTCAGAAAGTATTTAGAAATAGTATACTCTACATACTTCAATGGCAAAAGAGGCAGGAGATAAATTTGGAGACTATTGCAATAATCCAAGAAGTAATATAATACTAAAAGCTGAAACCAAGATATTAGGAAGAAAATAATAAATAACAAGTTTCTGGGTCCCCCTCCACCCTGCCCCACCCCACAGTCCTCACCCGTGGCTCCTTTTCAGCAAAGAAAAGACTTTCATTTGTGTCAGTACATGCCTATTGAATAAACATTTTTCTACCTCTCAGAATACTAAAATAATGAAACGCTGTATCAATCCACAGTTTCACAACTTATAAAGATTCTTTCTTATAATATATTTGGCAAAGCTCCCAGGAAGGATTATGTGATATTGGTGAAATGTGAAATACAGCAAGAAGGTTACTTAAACAATTGTAGAGTCAGTGCATGGTGGAATGTTTTCAATAGAGTATCAGTTGCGACAATAGTCATATGATGCATCACTGAAGTGTATAGATACCACCAATGACAGCTCATTTTTCTACCTTGGCTTCCAAATAAAACTCTTATTTTTATCTATATATTTATAGATATTTTTATAGTATATTTTTATCATGTATTTATCTTATATTTATCTTCCTATTTAAAACATCATAGGTATTACAGCAGAAAGGGACCAGATTAATCATTGAGTATAATTCCCATTAAAAATTAATTTTAAGTATACCATGGGATCCATGCAGAATACCATTTGTGATGCTGGAAGTGCTACCAAAAAGAAGAAAAATAATAATTTTAACAATGATAATGGAGCATGGGTGAAACTAACAAACATAGAACAACTCATAAATGTACAAATGAATAAAATTCTCTACCTAGCACCATTTGTCCCAAATCTTAGAATCAACCACATTGTAACCATTTCTGTTTTTACATTCTGGTGATGATTGTTTTCATTGTACTTCTAATTCTTGCAGTACCAAACTTCAAGACATCTATAACTCTTTGGTATAAGAGAAAAATTAGCTCTTTTGTTGTCTCTTATTCTCTCTCTCTCAATATTTTAACCTATTAATAGTTATTATATTATTTAATTTTAAAACTTTAAATAATAGACAAATCTCTACTTCTGAAATTTTTATTAATTCTAGTGCCAATTTTATTATTATTATTTGCAGATAAATCTTTCTCTTTTCTTACTCAAAAATTTGCATTATCATGTTTTTTAGAGTGTAACAAATTTCTTAAGGATCTGTACAATTTTTGTGTGTTTTGATCTCATCTCTTTCTTCATTATTCAATATTCTTATGTTTTATTTTTAAGAATGTTATCAATTCTTTGTTTTAATTGAATCAATTTTCTGCTTGGAAACTACTAGTAGTTGGATTTTAGACTTCCTAGGTTCAGCATACATTCCAGATTTTCTTTTTATCGTATTTTGAGGCATTTTTTCTATATGATGAGCAGTTGTGCTTTTTTTAATTTTATTTTCATACTTTATTTTAAAACTTTTAGCTTTTTAAAAATTTACAATAATCTTATGAATTTCTGAGAGGTCTTATTTTATAACTGTTTTTTCTTCATTTTCGTTTAAGTGGATGCATTATTTCCTCAAGTATTTCTGAGTGGACTAAATAGAAGATTAATGTTCCCATATTTCCTAAAATATTAAAATCAGTAATTCCGGCTGTTCATTTTCACTTTTTTCCTTTGTATTGTTCACTTACCTCAAAACTGCTTTGTGATTGCTCCCCAAATAGGCCTGGTAAGTGTGCATGCAACTGTCAATTTGCAACCATCAGATTTTTTTTTTTTTAATTATACTTTAAGGTCTGGTGTACATGTGCAGATCATGCAGGATTGTTACACAGGTATACACATGCCATGATGGTTTGCTGCATCCCTACCATGGTCATCTACATTAGGTATTTCTCCTAATCTTATCCTTCCTCACTTTCCCCACCCCCTGCTATCACTCCCCTATCTCTCCCCACCAACCAGGTACTTTTTCATATGTGTGTTTGTGGGGCATGACATATGATTCCTTCCAAATATACACACGTACATTCTAAATAATAGGATGATGGTCCAATACTAGGACATTCCATTTCCAACATTAAGAGCCTTAACCTTTCCCAGGTAACTTTAGAAGTTATAGAGTTTAGAGATGAACAAACCCCAACTGTCAGCATCTTTATTCTCTACATGCACGGTACATTGAGCTACGGTTCAAAAGAGTGCAGCTGATCTGGATGTGGACATTTAGCCAACAACATGTTTTCCATCCTATTTATTACTCCCATTCTGCCTTCTTTGTACTGAGTATCTCTGACATTTTGATGGAAAGAGTAGATTCCACAGTTTTCAATTTGCTGAGCCTTTCTGAGATGTGTCTTCTTTGGGTTTGATTTATCCATTGGCCTATTTCCACCTGCTTTTTGTATTTCAGAAATTTTTCAGAATTCTAAATGCTGATTGGCAGCTCCTTGTCACCAAGATTCACCTCCTGTCAATTTTTTTTCTGTTTTTTTTTTTAGACAAGGTCTCACCCTATCACCCAGGCTGGAATGCAGTGGTGTGATCAAGGCTCACTGCAGCCTTGACCTCCCAATATCAAGCCATCCTGCCACCTCAGCCTCCCAAATAGCTGGGACTGCAAACGCATGCAACTACACCCAACTAAGTTTCTTTATTTTTTCCTCTCTCTCTTTTTGTAGAGACTGGGTTTTGCCATGTTGCCCACACTGGTCTCAAACTCCTGGGCTCAAGAAATCTGCCTGGCTCAGTCTCCCAAAGTGTTGAGATTACAGGTGTGAGCCACCATGCCCAGGCTTCTCCTGTTGATTTTTTAATACTGATGGGATAATCTCTAATTTTGGAACATCCCAACTTAAACAGGATTTTTTGAAGGAGTAAAGAGTGCTTAGTTTAGCATTTTCAGGTGCAACATTTTATATGGGAAATTAATAATAGTATATAGTCAGTATTTTATAATATAATCATCAAACAATATTTGCTATTCATATTACTAATATTTAATAATTTTAAAGATATTAGCAGATAATATAAATAATACTTATCTGTAAATGCTGATTTATCACTTAATGTTTATTTGATATTAGTATAACTTGGTGCTTAAATATATTTTACTAATATATAAATAGACAAAGATATTCTTAATAGTGAAAATGGGATGAATTTCTCAAAGTAGTAAGCTTAGCTATATTCTTAACAATTTTTAAAATTTTAAAAAGGTATATTTTAAAAAATTATTTCATTTAAAGTAGTATATTCTAATCAATTATGTTGTTTCTTTTTAAATTGCTTTAACTGATGTATTATTTTTTAATGTTTGCTTTTTTGGGGGGAAGCAGGGTCTATACTTGAGAAATTAAGATATTTTTCTGATTAATTTTTCAGTGGTTTCCAGGTCAGAAATCTGGGCCTTATCAACATTTTATTTTATTGATATTGTGTTAGATTTTTGGCTATTTTTCTCAACGTGTGGAAAGTCCATTTCTGTTTACTTTCATCATTCATTGAAACATAGTTTCTTCCAGTTCATGAACTTGAGTTTGGAAAGGATGGGGGTAGGGGCAGGAAAATCTAGAAAACTGCAAATTTAAAATGTCTTTGCAACAGAAACTCTCCATGATACTGCTCACCAGAAATTAGTCCATTATTTTAAAGTAAATCACCTTGCAGTTTTTCTTCATTTTGGTGCACTAAAAAGTTAATCATTTATCTAATGAACAATTAATATCCTCTGAAAAACACACAGTTTTTCCACTTATGATAATGCTGCTTCATATATGGAATGTGTTTTCTACCACATAATCTTCAAATTGCCTGCTAACAATTTTTAAATATTAATTTTCATTTTGATTAGCATATGAGTATATGCTATTCAAGCATCAAGTGACAAGGAAACGGATACCACTTTGTCTCCCTCTCTCTCTCTCTCTTTTTTATTTACATGATTTTAGTGCTCCATAAAAATTTAGGAATGTAGTCAACTATCAACAAGTTCCATCCTCAAAAGGTCCGTCATTAACATTTAATAAGATCCTGCCTCTGCTTTTTATGACATAGCTAAGCAAGTTTAATCATGAACTTATTTGTGTTTATGACATTTCTCCTTATCTTCAAGGTGCACATTTTGTCTCTAATAGGAATATTGTGACCTGCATGATATTTTAATCTTTTAAAAATATTACTAAATGTGAATATTTGATTATTTTTGCATCTACTGAAGTTTTAATATTTGGTAACTTAGATTTTATTTTTCTTTTTAGAAACAAAATGGACATGAACATAGATTTGAGTTGCAAGATATTTTAAACTTTAGTTTATAATTGTAAAAATGTTTTTCATAAAATATTTAACTTTATTGATCTATTTCAAAATTTAAGATGACAACATTTAATGAATATTTGCATTAGAAAGGCTGTAAGATCTGGTTAAAAACATTTTTATAAATTTGGGACTATATTTAGTGTTTAGATAGTAAATTTCTGATTACAATAAGTTGTAAGATTTCCATCTTAAGATAATCCTCAAGATATGTGGAGTTCTGAAAAATGAAGAATTACTAAAACTGAAATATTTATATTTTACTTGTGAGTTTATTAAAGTAGTCATTAATTTTTTTCCAGTAACATTTTTCTGTAGTCTAGGACTTTGTTGTTGTTTCTATTGTTATTGTTAGTATTTTTATTTTAGCATGAATTTTATGATCAATTGTGATATAGTCTTGTCAGGAATAAACAGTAGCAATAACAACAATAATGGTGTTACCTACTGGCATGTGATTACTTGCTATGTTTCAAACATTTTGCTTCATGTTTTATTTCCATCATCCCATTTAATAATAAAACAAATCTACAGTATTTGTATTGCCATTTTTGTACAGAAGAAAGCATAGTAGCAAATGAACAGTCATATTTCCAGTTTACATTTATACAACTTTACTGGGCAAAGCTAGAAATTAGGCACACATTTGATGTTGGTGCTTGCTTTAATGTTCTATATTATTCTAACTTCGTCAAATGTATAATACTTTCACTTTTTAATTATTAATTATTCAAAATCAAGTATTACAGAAAGTTAATTTAGCATGTTCCAAATAAAGCTGCTGATAATAGTAGCTATTATTACTGAGCATGATGGAGCATTGATCCTTTTACATAAGCTGTGAAATATACTTATAGCTGTCACAGAAATTAGGTGCTAATATAATTCCAGCTATGAAGACAGATACATTGGTAGAATGAGCAGAATTTGAACACCAGTTGTTCCCAATTCTGAGTTCTTAATTCCTGCACATCATCTTTCCCAAATATGATACCTTGTGCTTACCCATCACAACCCCCATAATTTTTTTTGTTCATTCATAGCTTCTCAAACTTTTTGCATTGTCAAAATGTCTTCTTTGCTATTTCTCCTTTTTATTAAAGTAAATAAATAACATATAACAGCAAAAAAAGACATGTAGCACTGTTAATGTTTTAGTGTAAAATATCATAGAACATATAGTTCATTTTTATGTTAGAATTAGATTTGTGATACATAATAATTTAGTAGGTCAACTTTCTAAAAGTGTAAAATGTATTTTATTTTTCAGGGCTATTTCATTTCTGCATAATAGAAAATACTGATTTTTGAAATCAAGATTATTTTCATTACTTATCAGTCTCCTAGAATTTGCCTTAAGGGAGAAAATGATCTCTCCTTATGCTCCTTTTTTAGTGTCAAAAATTCATTTATTATTTTTCTCAGATGTCTCCTGGTCTCCACCCTGGATCTACTCTGATTCCAATGAATAATATTTCTGTGCCACAAGATGATGATTATGGGTATCAGTGTTTGGAGGGAAAAGATTGTGCCAGCTTCTTCTGTTGCTTTGAAGACTGCAGAACAGGATCCTGGAGGGAAGGAAGGATACATATACGCATTGCCAAAATTGACTCTTATTCAAGAATATTTTTCCCAACAGCTTTTGCCCTGTTCAACTTGGTTTATTGGGTTGGCTATCTTTACTTATAAAACTTACTTCGTGAGCAAAAATCAGAGAAGTCTGACTAAGTTCAGTAGAATCTTTTGTATTTCAGTAACCTGAAGTTTAAATTTAAAATGCAGAGAAACCAATGGTTAAAATATGAGTAGCATTGTAACTATTTTAAGGCCTGCAGAAGTAAATAACATAGCAGCTTTTAAAAACGGATTAGTTGCAAAATCCAGTAGATTAAAATACTCACATATTTTTACTTAAATTTTCTTTAATTTACTTATAGTTCTTATAATTTTGAATTTCTAAGTTCTCTGATTCATGTTTTAAACTTGAATTGATTTTAATACATATTTTGTTTAAATATAATCTATAGTTTTTGTAATTTGAGACTAAGGACTAATATTTATGTAGAAACATTTTGCCAAAAAATATTTTTAATTTTTTTCTTGCTTTTTATTTGTATACCCTGCTTAAAATACAGTTACTTAATAACATAAAGCCATAGTTTTCTTGGATTCATCTCCAAGCTACTGTATTCCCAAGAAGAAACTGATTTATTTTTAACTTATCAATTGCAGAAGACCTATAAAAAAGTCAATTTTTACCTGCCTTTTAATCCAGTCCATTTTCTAAAGCAATATTAAACAGAACTCCAGTTACATTTACTTAGGTGATTTGCAAGCTTGGAAGGAAGCCACCAAAGTCATTTTTTAAGATTGCAAGATAAAAAAATCAGATAAAATCGAACAATTTTATTCTCCGCTTCATAGCATTAATAATGTATGATGAGGTTAACACTGAAATATTAAAATCTACCAATGCAAATTAAATGCGGAGAGAAATGATTATTTTTCTTTACATTTTATGAAAGTGTTGCAGACCCTAAAATAACAAAATATTGGGAAACAATGCTTTTATTTACTCATGTCGTGAAAAATTATTACCTGGCAAACTGAGTTGCAGGTCATATTGAGGAGAGGATCTTAAATCTGTGCTATTAGCATTGTTTTTAGACTAGTAAAATTCAGAAACAGTTACAGACCTGCATTACATATTGCCTCTTCTGGTTCGAAAGCTCTGAACCCTGTCAGTTTCAAAACAACTTTATATATTGTTATAATTTTTTTTTTGCTAGAAAATTAGGGGAGCCTCAAAATCATGTTAAAGAGGGAGTTTTGTTGAGACCTCTTTAATGAACATGAGTGTGAGAGCCCTCTAAATTCTTAGAGTCTCACAGGATGTAAAATATATCAGTTAATAGTTTTCAAAATGTCTCTTTAGTTAAGAAGAGGGTTAAATTTAGGCTTCAATGGTTATAATCCTGTAAGTAGTTTGACATATCAATTGTTTATGAGATTCATCACATACGTTTCTGGAGAACTACTAGGATTAGCTTGAAAATAACCTTTAAAACATGTTTCTGTTGCCAAGACCAGTGATCATGATGTAGAGTTTTATGATCACGGCCTAACTTACTTAAGGTTTGGAGGGGGCGGGTAACCTGTCACCTGTGCAATTGACACTCTAGTTTTTAATGTTATAATTCTGCCATATGGTTAGTGAATCTCTGGCATGGTTATACATATGTATTAGAAATATATAGGTTTTCTTTATTTTTAATTAATTAATTAATTGTTTACTTTGTGTTCCCTGCTAACTCTGAATTTTTTCACGTGCTCATAAACTTCTGAAAAAATAAGCATGAATCAAATGATAATGCCCAATAGCCACTGACACTGCTTTTTTCTTGAATGAATAGCCAAATTAAACTTTGGTCATCTATATATTCATTTACACATTATTCATATATTCATTCAAATAACATTGAGTTCTGATGGATGTTTTTAAAGTTATGCATTCATTTAAGGATAAATAAAAAAGTACTCATAAAAAATAAAATCACTAAAATATTGTATGGCTATTTTCATGTTTTAAACTGTAGCTTACTCATTATCATGAGACAGTTTTGATTTTGGGACTCTTTCAAGTGTATCTGAGCATGACTATATTTTAAAATACTTAAAAGTGCTTGATATAAATAGTGTTCCTTCTGAAACACAATTCTATGTAAAAGAAAAAACAAATAGCTTTGATTTTCTCTTTGGCATTTCATTAACTTGGTTTTAAATGTTAACAATATTTACAAGTGAAAATAAAATTTATAAATATATGAAAGATGCCTTTCCTTGTATATACCATCAAGCAAGCACTTTGTTTTCAAAGCAAGTGGTACTTTGATCAGTTGTATGTAAATGTGTGATCAGAAAGAATGGTGTACAAATCTTATTTCTAAAAATAAGAATAAAGAAGTAAAAATGCATTTAGACTCCTTTTTCAAGAAATCAAATACAGCTTTTTTTTAAAGCTGATTTAGTCCATTTCCTGTTTCTCTATTCCAAGTATAAGTTTCATAATCTTGAGAAATAATTTTTAAAAAATCTTCCCTTTTCTCTGGTGAGTTAAACCATAATTTATTGAATTAATGAGAAATTTAATTTCCTGGATGCTTTAAGTGATTTTAACACTAGCATAGACCCTAAAAGTGGATATAAAGAATTGAGAAGGATAAGTGGAGCACAAGAAATAGAATCATTTGTAAAAATGTTTGCTTATATAGACCTATTCTCTAAAGATGTTACCAGGATCTAGAAATTCTGAGAGGTGAAAATGTGTTTGGCATAATTTTATTCTTTTAGATCCACAATGACAGGATCATATTTTATTTTATTTACCTTTGAATTCCATGGACAAAATTAGGCTCACTTGAAATTAATTTTTGTAAAGCCAAGTAAGTTCATGGAAAAAAAATGTAAAAAATACATAGATTGCTTGAGAATTTAATAGAGATAGGGAAAAATTTCCCAGTAAGTCTAACTGAAATTTTGATATATGTAGGAATTAGCAATTCATTGGAGGCATTTTATTTTAAGCTGAAGAGAGATTTCATTAATAAGTTTTTAAAATTGATCAAGTTCAAATTAAAGCACAGTAGATGTGTATAAATATGAAGGCAATTGTAAGGATTTTTTTTTCATTTGTGGTTCCATATTCTGACATTAATATATCACCATAAAATAGACTGTTTTTGTCTCAAGAACAATAATAAAATTGAAATCTGCATTCATATCAATTCAACATCAAAAAGAATGGCTGACAGTTCTTTCCCACCAAGGTCCCCATAATTATAAGTGTTAAATTGTATTCCAGGTCAAAATGTTGTGAAAAATGCACAAAACACTTTAATTTTACAAGAGAGGAGCTTTAGATAAGATGATTTTAGTAGATTAAAATAAATAACCAGTACTGAAGTAAATGTATAACAGATGAAAAGATACATAGATAAAATTTTCAAAGCTATACCAGTGCCTATTTTTACTCTAGCAAAATTTCCTGTAACAAGATACTACATTGGAAATTATTTCACTGGTCTTAGCACTGGGAATGAAGTTACCCAGTAGACACTTAATGCTTTACTGGTTGTCTCACTAGAAACATTTATTTCTGACCTACCTAGTTTTCTTTATATCATTAAATTTATTCAGCTTCTCAGTGCTATACCATATGACAGCAACACATACTTGATATTCCATTTCTGTTGGCCATTATTGCTTTTTACTGCTAGGGAGGTCTTGCCAGACTTCTATACAGTTACAAAAACCATTACCAAGTCTTTATAAAGGACTTTCCAAATGGAGTTTTCAAACACTATTAACCATATCGCTCTAGTTGATTTAAGGTCAGTTCTGACTTTTTGTGTTTGCATTTTGGAAGTGAGGTAACCTTATTCAAATATTTATGCAGCACTTTCTGTGTACAAAGTACTGTTCTAAATACAAAAGAAAATATAAAGATGAAATTTCAAGGAAAATATAATGCAGTCAGAAAGATGAGAGGATTAGTTACACAATTTAAGGGAGGGAGGATATCTCTAGGGAGGTTTTGTGGAGGATACATGTTTAGGGATGAGAGCTTGGGGATTCAATAGGTGAGAGGGACAGAGATCACAATTTCCAATTGAGTAAACAGCTTGAGAAAAGAAACAGAAGCATGAGCACAAATTAAAATTCCAGTTTCTTTGGAAGATTCATATAGAGACAATGAAAAGTTAGGTTAGAACAATAAACTAAGAAGCATGAATGTGGACATCAGGAGGCTAGGCAAAATTATACAGTCATAAAGAGTTCACAGAGTTCCTTAGTACAAAAGAGACATTATTAAAATTTCTGCAGAAGTTTCATCTTATTGGTGTGTGATGGTTTGAAGTATAACAAGCCAGTTAAGAATATAGGTTTATAGTGGATAATATGAGGTTGAAATCTGTACCCTTATGACAGAAGTCTTCAGTGGAGAGAGGGAAAGATAGCCCCAAATAGAAAGAAAGACATTAAGCTTTGATCAACAGACAACATTACTGAGACACATGGTGTGTTGGGTGGAAGGCATCCTGTAATAGATACTTGTTTGCATGTAGATGAGCACAAAGACACTACAAGAAAACTAAATGTTATGCAATCTTGTTTCCTGTTCCATTTTTATCAAACGCTTATTTTTTCTATTGATTTATCTTTTTCACACATGAAGTATGAGGAAAAAATAATCTGAAATGTAAATCATAAAGTGATCTGTCCAGATTCTTATTTTTTTTTTTAATGTTCCTCACTAAACGGATTTTCTATTCAAATAACCTTTTCCAGTTTTCCAACAAGGAGAATAAGAAAGGAGAATTGTGGGTAGAAATCGTCTACTGTGTGAAGAGAAAAATCCAGAAAGCTAATTTCTGATCCTCAATTTCTGAAATATTTCTGTCAGAATAAATAAAATAACTGTTATTGTTGGAAGCTGAAACATACTTGGATCTTTTGAGTGTGTGATGGTAAAAGCTGTGATAACTGAAATGCAGTTAAGCAAAAAGGGCTAATTAGTGGACTTTTAAGACGTTATTTACCTAAATGGAAATAGTTTGGTTTTCAATCCCTCATTGTAATAACACTTACTTGCAACCATTAAGTGTATATAGTCATTTCCTATAATGAAGTTTTATGTCTTGTGATTATAATGGCTTCTGTTATTCTGCTACTGCCTCGTTGTTTTGAGGAAAATTTATAAGTTTGTGGCAAAGTATCTCAGTTTTTCAAAGTGTTCTTTACTCTCATGATCCTTAGTACAAAAATAAACCCAGTAACATGTTATAAAATAAATATTTACATTCTCTTACACTTTGTCTTTCTTGATAATCTTCATACAAATATATTCCTTCACTGTTTCAAGTATGTGATCATAGGTTTAGTATTGAAGTTCATTTCTAACCTATGTAATTTCATATTTTTTTTCAATTAAGTACCTTAAAAAGTTTCTCCTTGATTGAGACTTTTGAAAAGGAATTTACCTTCAAAAGGTTAGGTAAACATAATTGAAGCTTATGCATGATTTTCACTGGTCTATGAATGTCTGGATTATTCTAACAATTTGCGATTTTACCCTGATTTAAACAACCAGATATTCTTCAGTACGTGTGCCAGTGAGAGCAATATATATTAGTTAGGATTAATACCTAGACCACTCCAGCTACCCCATGTGATAGAAAATTCTATTCCACATGAAGGAACAGTTACTGAAGAAAATTAAAAGTCAGAAAGTCAGGAGATAAGGTATTTTCTGCTTCTTCCTCCTAGTTCTCCCTTCCCTGCTGTCACAGTACAATATTTTTTAAAAATGTTGTGATTCTTCTCTCAGGTCCAAAATATCAGATATGCTATTTTCATAAAGCTGAAGAA